GTCCCCGAGTCTCCCTGCAACTGCTCACCACCTTTGGGTGTTGACATCCTAGTGTGGCATACCGGGGCTTGAAAAGTCACAGCAGGCTTCACTACAGGAACCACAGGAACATCAGGCACAGACATACCAGCGACGGGAACACCAGACACCACCCCATCACTAACAACTCCAATCTCATTTCCAGACACAGAATCATCCTCGCCTAGAGAATTCACACTACGTGTGAGGAAGAGACGAAGAGGGGCGCCACTTGCTGGAGGAATGTCGCCCGGAGGTGGAGAGGGGGTCGCCGTCGAGGAGGCAGAGGTCGTTGGAGTAGCGCCGGTGTACTGCTGCTGCTGCTGCTGCTGCTGCTGCTGCTGCTGCTGCTGCTGCTGCTGTTGAGTCACCGGCTGAGTGGCGGTGCTAAAGGTCTCGTTGAAGACTCGCTGTTCATCAGCATCGGGCCCAGCAGAAGGGTGACAGAACGGACGGCCCCGACCCCAGCTTGCCCCTTGGTCGAGCTGGTGCAGCTGCTCTCGATATGATCCGCTCGACAAGCGCCCCGAGTCTTGCCCTCCGGCCTGAGGAAAAACTGGTCCCCGCATACTGTCCCTCTCGCGAATGAACGCCATGAAGTCGCTGTAGTGGAACAAGAAGTCCTGGCGAACTTTGTGGCAGTCCGGGGTGTTGTGGGAGGAGTTTGCTCCGTGAACCTGGCAGAAGAAGGCACTTCTCTGCTCATGAGATGGTCCGCCATCCGCTCCCGCAGCAGCTGCTCTCCTCATGCCGCCGCCCCGGCCCATGCCGGCAGCGACGGGCGCATGCCTCGTGTCCTCGATCCCCTCTCCAGACCTCCGTTTGATCCTCTGCTCGTGCTCGACCAGCCTCAGCGTCTCTTCCAGAGTACCTCTCGAAAGCATGGGGTGGAACAGAATACGGCCTTTGACATCGTCGTACATTGGGAGCAAGCCACGCGCAAAGTGCCTCGACATTATCGTCTCCTCTCGATTGTCCCCACAAGACTGTAATTGCATCCACACAGTATTCGCCCTTCCCCAATAGTCGAGCAGAGTCTCTCCATGCTTCTGTCTAAGGCAGTTCCAAGTGTCGTCCAGGATTTCTCTCTCATGCGTCCTACTTCTAGTGTAGTAGGACTGAAACGCCATCCACCCTGCTTGTGGACTCTCTGAAGCTAGTATCTGGTCTAGTATAGGTTGAACGTTGATTTTCGTGATCAAGCATATCCAGACTCTCCTGGCCTTTCGAACACTTTCATCGCCATACCTCTGCCGCAACCAAGCCTTATCGACGTGCAACGAACCCACAGGAATCTCTTCTCCTTTCATGATCTCTTCAAGACCTTCTGCATCCATCCACCCTGAGAAACAACTCGTGAAAATTCGGAACGCGACAGTCACACTTCGATCCTTCAAGAAAGCATCATTCCACTCTGGTACTTCGACTCTCTCTCTCAGCTTCAACTCTATGGGTTGGGAACTAGACGTGCCTGAGCGGACGCCATGTCCCGGAGTCTGGGAGGCGAAGGTGGCAACCCGGCGAAGGAGGTCGGCAAGGGCGATAGTTGGATCTTGTTCCCCTCCACCCGCGGCTGCTCTCGTTCCTCCCTGGTCCACATCGGGGAGGTTCGACGAATCTCGTCTTTTCCCCCCGTTGTCTTCCCCGTGGGGAGAGGAACTAGTCCCTGGTTCCCCCGGAGGTCTTCGTCCATCTCCTCCAGCCGTCTTGTTCGCGCAGACACAGCAGCAACTCTCTTGATCTATTACGCTAGCGTGTTGAGTAGCTTGGTGCGCCCGGCGCAGTTGTAGACGGCAAAAATAAAAGAACCGCGCGGCGAGTTTGCCGGCAACGATAAAATACAGTAAACTGCCCGCGGATGTGGTAACCCGCCGCATCTGTGATGTTCCGGAGCGTGATGGCTCTGATGTGTTGAAGCTGGTGCTGTGATAGCTGTTGTGATGGCGTGATAGCCTAGAGGCGTGACAGCCTGGCAGCGTGATAGCCGGTGGATATGTGTGGACACGGGCGTGATAGCCCAGAGCGTGATAGCCGGGAAAAGGAAGACGAAAATTATCCAAGGGCACGTGGTCAACACCGTTGCAGGCACGTATACCCAGGAAACAACAATATGTGGCAAAGATGGTACCGCCATTCCCGCAATATACCACAACTGCGGAACCCCAACAATTCCCCGCTCCATCTTCTCGGAACGTTCCTCGGTTGCAATAATCTGTCAATGCTGTGAGTACATCCAACACACTGAACACCCTCGAGAAAAAAATGTCTTGCGTGTGCATGTTGCGTGTTGTGCATTTAGTATAGTCTATATGTTATGTGCATAATGAAAATGGGACTCACCGAGCACCGAACAATGTTGTCGCATTCAGGTGACAGACAGGCCACCGCGTCGTCAAGTCAAGTAGTATATCTACATGCATGCACGGTACACACGACGATGGGCAAATCTCCTGCTGACAAAGCCGCCGGCCATGATGATTTTTACGGGCCTGAGGCCTATCCCAACGGGAAAACATGCTTCCTGCGGAAACCCAAAACAGGGTTGGATCCCGCCATACCCGAAAGGAAATGCCACGTTATCCCTGCTATGTCCATCGATCAAAACAATAACAAAAACCAGCAGCAGACGAAATCGTAAAATTGTTGTAAACCTAGCGGTGGCAAGACTATAACCGCTGCTCCTCTGGTCTACTCCTTAACTTGATGCTGCTGCTTCTATGGTACAAAAAAAAAGTCTGAGGTTTTAATGACAATTGACAGTTTCGGACTCAAATTTTTTCCCAATGAAGGAGTTATATTTTGAGTTAAGCCGTCATTCTGAGGATCGCTCGTGACAGTCTCGCCAGAACCCACAACAAGGAAAAAAAATACAGACTTAAGAGCCGAGGGAGGCTCGGTTTGTGGAAGTTTTTTCACAGTTTTTCGATTTAGCAACTTTCTTCGAAGTAACACATCATCACACGCACCACCGCACGCACACACAGCAGTCTGCTGAGAACACGTCGGCGCGGCCAAAGAGAAGGCCAGCGCACAGCGAAAGGCCTTGGAGTTGGCGCGCCACCAACACAAGAACAGGGAGGCTGCACGGTCAGAAAGTTGGGTTTGTTTGCGGCTGGCTTGAGGTCAGCAACACGCCCGTCAGATTGAGGCAAGGGGGAGGAAGAGCACACGAACGTGGAGGTAGTGGCAACACCGCCAGCAAAGAAGAAGAGCAGGGAGGAGGAAGAGCACGTAGTGGCCTCCTGGTGAAGGCGAGCGCGTCCTTCCGCGCGCAAGAGTATATCCTCTGGTGTCTACTAGAAAGAGCAGCGTTAGCCTCGGATGTGCCTCCCGGTCCCAATCCCCCGTCTCTCTCTCGAACGCTTGAAAGGCGGCATAGCACTTCGTTCAGGGGCTGTCGGCCAGTGTACAGTAATCACTTCCTATCTCCGTATTGCTGTGGTGCGATTTCGTGTTCTGAGGTTGAGGGAGCGACGCAGACACGAACATGCGCACGCATGCACGCATTCAACAGCAGCAGCAGTGAGAGCCCCTTGTCATCAAGGTGCACAGCTGTCACGCAGCGCACCACGAAAAAACAACAGCACATGCGGACAGGGGAAGTTCGTGGGAGGCCTGTTGACCCACAGCCAATCACATGAAGCCGCTTTAATCTGAAAAACTTCACCTGCAAGAACTTTCCAGGAAGCTTTCTTATCTCAAAATCTGCTTCCTTAAACCGGTAAATTTGGAGCCCCAGTCCGAAACTGTGTAATGATTTTTCTTGGCCGGAAGAACGAAACGCCGGAACGGAGAAGAAACCCGACTGCCGTGACGCTGGACCTCCCGCCGCACCGTGACGACGCCAGTTTCGCCCAAATGGAAATTTCCGACAGCTCGCACAACCCTCCGAGATTGATCGAGGGCGGTTTCCATCGCTAACTGCGCCGCTTGATTGTCGGCCTGTGCCTGTATCGCTTCCATGGCGGTTTCGTGCTGTTGCTGCTGTTGCGCCCGCCGCCTGCGCTGGCGTGGGCTCCGAATCCACGGCTTCTTGGCCCTGAGCCCGCACAGCTTCTTCGGCGTTGTCCTGGTGCTGCTGCAATGCCACTTCGATGAGCTTGGGTTCCAAGTCCAGAGTTTCTTGACGCTCAGCCCTCGTTTTGGCCAGCCATGCCGCTTCCGATATGTACACCGGCGACACGGGCCCCAGTATCGTGTACGGCACGTCAGAGACATCAGGGGCGCTGCCATCACCGGCATTGCTGTTTGAGGCGTTGGATCTCATCGTCTCTGTTGCCGCGGTGGACGCCGGCGTACCTCCACGTTCCGAGGGTGTTCCGAAGGTAAAGCGGACAGAGCGGGGGGGGGGG